AACATGAGATGAGAGGCAAACCAACAGACTACAGAAGACAAGAGAAGAATACAAGACAAGACGATAGTACAGTTATTTATTTATAACATTCAACTGCACACACGCAAAAAAAACTACACAATTTATTTGTTATGGTAAATAGAATTTATGTCACAGAGTAATTTTCTAGATCGAATTAGAAATATTTAGAAGTTGTTTTTTTTCAGAGGGAGGAAAACCGGAGATTTCAGAGAAAAACCCTGGAAGCAGGAGAGAACCAACAATCAACTTTACTCACATACAACGGATCCAAGAATTAAACCTAGGTCGCATTGGTGAGAGGCGAGCGCTCTCACCGCTACATCACCCATGCTTCCAATGTGCTTCACATTATAAAGTGGATTAAATCTCTGCAGCTATTTGTGTTTAATGTGAAACAATGAGTCAGTGAGATGGCAAAACACAAGACATGACACAAAACAGCAATAGATAAATACCCAGTAAGAAATTTTTGCTTCCGCGATAAAAACTGTTAATTTTTATGTGAAACAACAAGGCAATGAGATGGCTAGATGAGACAAGAGACACACAACTACATAATATGTAAAAAAATTATTTTAATACGAAAACAAATGCTAAAACTCACACTGATTGCTACATGTATTATTTTATATTTTAATGCAGTAAATGTGACAAGACTGTGGCAAAAACAGGACAAGATGACATGTCATGATGCAACAAAAGATATCACAACACGAGACGACCTAAGATGAATCAACACTAAACACATGAGACAACAACACCCATCTATTGTTAATTTTACTTTTTTTAAGTGGGTTCAGCCACAGGAAAAGCTCAACCACCATACCAAACTATATCATTTTAAAATGCCTACCTTAGCTTCCTTGCAGTGCTGGAAAAGTTTGGCAGCTTTTCAAATTTTTCTTGGTATAAATATAAASTCCCCAGATCAAATGACACCTGAAATGAAAGCAATGGAGTGTTACGACTAAGTTTCAGGAGGGTAAAAATTTAATAATCAAAATGAAAAATAATAGTTTGAACTGAGAAAATGTGTTCAAGTGCTAGTGAAATTAAAATGTTCTTAATCCAATGAAAACCTTTAGCATCTTTGGTTTAGAATATGGATAAACCAGATAATCTCAAGGCAACTTTATAACAAAATTATTATATTTAAAGTCTGTTTATTCCATCATCCATATATTCACACAATATCTGTGTTTTACTGACTGAAACAGGGGTCTTGCTTGTG